GTATACAGATCAGTGCACGAGCCAGAAATGTTGATCAGCTGATAATCGTTTTCTAGTGTGCCTTGCGTTCCATAGCATATGGTAGTTCAACCACATAACCTGAGGGTCATATTACATTCCACTTTTATTTTGGTATAAATAAAGCATATCGTATTTTTTAAAAATGTACAATATGTTCGAAGTAAAGGAAAAATAATACCAAGGGATTTTATACTATTAATTTTCTTAATTGAAGTTCAATAATATTGAAAAAAAAATGTTTATACACATACAAATGCAAGCTTTTTTATAAATTTTCTCATTAATCATGGATACTTTTAAAATTTATAGCAATTTAGTATGTTTGAGAAGTAATTAAATTGCTAACAAAGCACAATAAGTTAATTACATCTAAAATAAAAATTATTAATTGTCTATGAGTTATTTTTTTGAATTTGATATCAAATATTGCTTTTCTTAAGAAATTTAGAAGGATTCGCGTCATGATACTGAATTAAAGAAATTGTTTTATATATTGTTATTTTATACGTTATGTTTTATAAATTGTTAAATAAGTCTAGTCGAAACATATAACTCCAGAATAGAGTAAAATACCAAATGCAGATGTACAGTATGACAATTGCTTAACTTCATGTAATACCAACTTAAAATAACTATTTAATACAGAAAAAACATTATAGTACTGTTTTCTAAGAATGTATATTGCACCTTTCAGTGCATACGCACGTACGCACTAAGTTAACTTTACTAGTAGCCTATGAATATTCTCCGAAATAGCTAGAAAAGTATAAGAAAAAGAAAGGACTAGATGGAGAAGGATCACATATTGTTTCGTCTTAGTGTATTAGTAGAATATTGGAAAATGTTAACCATACAGAAAACTAGCAGCCCCGACTTTGCCTGAGATTGACTGAGAGAGGAACGTAAAAATGTTGATATGTGATGTCAAATGTTTCTAGTTTATCAATACTTTAAAACTTTGCATCTATTCTTGACACTTCTCAGAATAAAAACGTTTTGAACAAAGAAATTATTGTTTGGAATCCATGCAATTTTCACCGAATAATAAGGTTTAAAAAAGTTTAAAAAAATATAATGATGCTGAAAAGTACAGTGCGTTCATTACGACATTACATAGTTGTTGGCCTTAAAAGGCCATGCATTTGCACTTCCTCATGTTATAATACGTAAAAAAAAAGAAAAAACTTTTTTAGTTGAAAAGATTTAAAACTAATATAAAACGTTTCATTAAAATTTTTTTTCTTCAATTACCAAACCTTACCACCAGAGTCACAAAGTGCTAGAACTCAATCCCTCCATTTGTTAGCCCCACAATATATACAAGTACATATCATTCCACGTCTTTAAATAGCTGGGAGACTTGAGTAATCAATGTGTAGGTTACAATGAAAAGCTCACATCTGTTACTTAATGAATTATATACTCGTTGATTTTGACGCTTCTGTTTCAATCTCGATAAGGTTCTGCGTCAGTTTCGTGATGCCTATAATTGAATCCATTTAAAGTTTTTCTTCCAATTTACCCTCTTGTGACTATGGGCACTGATTAACACTTTTGTGAGCTCGGTGATAAGCCAATGACATTTCTTGGCAACTTTATTAAATTGTAATGTATTTGTTGACAACGCTCTGAAGCGTTGGAGTTTATTGTAGTGCTTTTCTCTACCGCCTCCTGGTGTTATGCTGGAGGCATTAGCGTTGAAGGCACCTTTTTTTTTTATAAAGCTCAGTCATTATGGCGATCGGGATCTTGGGAATTGATTCGCACCCGTTTGCCTGTTGAAAACTGTCTGATTTGCTCCAGTTTGTTTCTTCTTTATAGCTTCACTATTAGTTTCACCAAGATCAGACCTTGGAGAAGATTGGTGATTTCTGGTTGAGTGCTTAAAAGCAAGAGGATACTGTAGGGTCGTCAAGAGCTAGAGTTTCTAGCCTCTCGACGAACGACTCTGCTCGTGACGTCTACCAGTAAATGACTAATGTAGTTTGAAGGTGGCCGGCTTTCGTATTGTCTATTAGTAGACGAATTGTTATTGGGTTTGGCTTTGAAACATTTGTCGGAAATACTTGTAAAAAATATCTATTAGCTAGATAGGCCAGTATTAGATGTCCCTGAAAGGCCAATGAGATTTATGGTGGTTTAGTGAACGTTAAGATTAATAATGGTCTTCAACATGTCAGAGGTGATATTTTTAGTTGGAGGCTGATCATATTTCCAGCAAATGTAGCTCCCAAACTCCACAAAGTTGTTTTTCCTGGTTTGCTATTTTAGTAAGACGTGCTTTAGCAGCATCAGGTTGCTCAGAAGAACGGCCATGATACCCTTAAAAATTGGAGCTGGATGTGCTCTGGACAGACATCAGTAGTAATACTCCAGGAACGTTGGCGTTTAAAACTCCCTTTTTGTCATCTTAGCAATCTAAAGTAAAAATTGGCTTAGATTCCTTGCCCATTGTACACTTGTCGTAGGCAATCACGATACCTATAGTCCTGGAGGCGACCGCAAAGTGACTTAGCTCATAGAGGCCCGCTTCAAACTTTGCAATACAACAGGATTCATACTTGTCTAGACAATGGGCCTAGGCAACCTCCTGGGTCCTTTGCATGTAATAAAGAACATGGAAATTTGCAGTACAAAAAACGGCCCTGCACTTTGTTCATCGAGGTCCAGTTGGGTTATTGGGCTGCCCAACAAGAGGATTGCAATAAGCAGGGTTTGCTGCTTCAGAATTATGAAAAAATTTAGAGTTTTATCAGCTTTTTTCGAGTGAATATTGAGCAACTTCCTTCTTATTTGCCATCCTTGGGACACTAAAAATAAAATAAAATAAAATGAATCTAACAGAGGAGAGTATAAGTTATGTTCAAAATTATATTTAGACAGATAAATGCAATTTCGTTCATTTATCAAAAAATTAACACAAACGTCGAAGCGATAAAGAACGCAGAATGGTTCAGGCAAAAATACGTACAGGTATTTACATTCTTTAAACGCATAACAATTTAAAACACATTTTTAAGGTACCGTTTGTTACACATACAGTTTTTTTGTATATTATAGTGGCATACGTCCAGGTACTAGAAGGGTCCACTACTTAAGGTACTCGACAATTTGGAAGGGGACAAGAAAATAAATAGGTGGCTTCCCAATACTGGGAGAGGAGTAGGTAGAAAAGTAGGAAATTTTGTTCACAAAAAGCATTGTGTGCTGAAAAAGCACGTATGAAAATTACAGAGTTACTTGCCCGAAAAAATCGCACTGCCTGGGAATCGAACCGCGGTTCCCCGCGTGCTAACTCACGACCTAGCCGACTGAGCCACCGCGCACTCACTAATATAGTTCGTAAATTTGAATGATCGTTGCAATTTTGCATATAATACATTGCAAAATAAATAGTAGCACAGTAATGCATTGTCACTTTTTTCGCACTCCTTTGAATGGGCACTGTCTTTTATTCGCACACTTGATGGTCAACAACATTTTTAACAACTAAGTCGTAGGTATTATCGTTGTCAACGTCGTCATTAGTATCTGTAATCTTGCAAAACATCTGTTACGTATGCAGAAACAGGTGAACCATAAAACCACAGTGGCTTGATTTTATCATCGGTCAAAAGCCAATCATATTCCTCATAATTCAAGTTGACGCAAGACGGTTATGTCGCATTTCGCCGCACATTTACTATATGTATATGTACAATGCAAAATTATTTGTGTTTTAAACATGAGTTATCCACTCTCATCCGCATGCTTTATTTCATTTCATTTTTAGTATCCCAAAGATGACAAATAAGAAGAAAGTTTTTCAATATTCGCTCGAAAAAAGCTGATAAAAAGCTAATTTTTTCATATTTCTGAAGCAGAAAATCCTGCTGGCTGCAAAACTCTTGCTAAGCAATCCATTTTTAGCTTAAAGGGCATAACGAAAGCTACAATTTCCCTCAAAAATTAACCGGGCCTCGATGAACTAAGTGCGGGGCCATTTTTTGTATTGCAAATTGCCATGTTGTTTATTATGTACACGCAACCCATGGGGTTGCCTGGACCTATTATCTAGACAAGTTTTAATCCTGTTATATTGCAAAGTTTAAAGCGGGCCTCTATGAGCTAAGTGATTTTGCGGTTGCCTCCTGGACTACTAGCTGCGTGACTAACAGCTCTGTTCTTAATGTGCTGCCAGTAAACGACTATGGTAATTGATATTCTGCTCACGAATATTATAACCAGACTCTCTAACTTTGGTTACAGGTTGCTTTGATTTTATTCTGATGCCACTTAGTGATTTCTACTGAACTTAAGCGCAAAGCTAGATTTTTTTTTTTTTTTGCAAAAAATTGAACTTTTTTTTCTCTACAGCAACAAAAATTTCAAACAGAAAAATAAGCCTTGAATAATGTAAATTAATCAAAGGAACTGTGTGATATAATTATTTGCATACATTATCACACATCTATCCACACAAAGTCTTTTTTTGTTTTAATCTTAATACGTTATTTGGTGAAATAATTGGCCAGTCTTACATATTTTTCAATTAAAACTCTGCTGAAATACCAACAAATGATAAAAAAACTAACTTTTCCATAAAAATTTACCCCAAAAATTGATATAATCTACACAAAGAAAGATGATGATGACACTCTTAAGTAATATACTTTGATATTACATTTTTAGAAGACAATTTTCTAGCTTGACACCTTCATACACAATTTTTTGTACACAACGCAGCTTCCTCTACGAGAAAGCAAGATGGTCTCTGTGTCACTACATAAGGTGCATTATTTCATAAAAGATTAATCTTACCAAGAAAGGGTGTGTGTGATCTTTAATTAAGAATATGTTGTGCATTTTATTTTACACATTTTACTAAACACTATTCATCTGAAAATAAACATTCTCAAATAATTAGTGTTATTCCTCAAAACTTCAATTTTTTGTTTTTTAAAGTTAAGTTCACACTTTAAAAGCTCTTTTTGTTGTAGGTTGCAATGCAGTCTTCAACTTTAATTCTAGAATCAAATCCAGCTATCAATGTAAGTAAGATATAAATTAAGACTTTTTTTGTTAACCAACATGCTTCGTTTAAGATATGACATTGAACCTTACAATTCGAAGATATCTACATTTTTGTGACTCACAAATATTTATCTCGATAGCCCCTGATATAGTAATAAGCATAATAAGAATTATATATCTCAGAAAAAAGAATTAACGATTGTACTATTAGTTAAGCCTTTTCGAGATGAATTCTAAGAAATCTATATTTTTTACATAACTATGGTTACTGTTTTGTTCTAGATTTAATACAGTATCTTTATACCCAGCTTTTGTTTTTGAACGTATTAAAATTTCAATATTTTTAGAACTTAAGAAGTTGTGTTTATAGTTTATTTCAATATAAATAATAAATCTTGAACTCAGCACGCCTTATAAACCTAGTTTCAAGTCCGTGTATTTATGTGAAATGCACGACCAGAAACAGAAACTAACTATTTCTACCTTCAGGCATGCGACTTTGTGTCCTTGGTAAGTAAAACAATATATGTATCTCGGGCATAAATGTACAATAATTGCTCTTTTTGTGTGTTGAAGTCTTACTTAGTGCCTTAGTGATTAAATCTACTATTTCCTACTATACGCAAAAATTGAAATAATGCCCTTACGCCCACTTTTTGTTTTCAAAACCTAACACCTCGAAATCAAAAGCAGAAAAAAAAACATTTCCGTAATTGTCTTTGTTATTACATTTGCATTTAAGGAAAAATACTGCCAAAGTTGAAACATCGAATATTTACCCAAACTTTTGCATAAAATACCAATTTTTTTAAATAGTTTGCTCATACGACGGGATAAGAAGGTAATTTTTGTTACTCGCTTTAAAATTAACTGTAGTTATTTACAAAAACTTCAAGAAGTCTTATAAATCGAAATCTAATATCAAGTTTTAGTTAAACATCAGTTTGATAAATTTCTCAAGAAATGAAAATATTTCGAAGCATAATTTCTTTAATCTTATTGTTACTGTGCACTTAGTAAAACATCATGAAAGTATGCTGAGAAAGTCATGACATTAGTACCTAACCTAAAATAAGCATCTAATCGATGATTCTTGGATATCTTGACAGCACAAAGAGATGAAGAGCTGATTTTTAGTTTTATATCCAAACATATTACTTAAATCAACAAAAAGTTAATCAAATTCAATAAATCGAAACCCAACCTAAAAATCTTAATTAAATGTTAGTTTTATGTTTGTCTCACGAACTCAAACAGTTAAAAAAAATATTTTCTTTCTTATCTCTTAAATATTGAGTGTAGAATTAGGATAAAATACTAATAACACCAGATAATCAGACCCTGACTTAAAAATCAACCCTTACCTTTATTTTTTGAGAATCTAGAAACTGCAAAAACACAAATCTAATTTTTTGTTGTTTAATTCCTTATTCTTGAAAAAAATATAAAAAAAACCGTAAAGGGCATGGAATTCAAAACCTATTAAAATTTTTTTATTAAATATAGATTTTATGAACATTTTAAGAAACAGGTATAAAAATTTTTTGAATTTCGTCAATACCTGATACAGATTCAGAAATGAAATTTTCAAGAGGACAGAGATGCATGCAAACCTTCTACAAAAACCAACAATAATCCTTTTTTTCGATCTCTTGATAGTGCTGACACTTGAAAAGCTAAATTTTTAATATTTATCTTCTGATTTGCAACGGCAATTAGAATAAATTAAAAAAATATCTAAAACTAGAAGTCTTACCAAAAATTTTCTATGAAATTATTACTGCATGAATATTTTGGAAGCGTTAACAAGTTGGAGGTTACAGTTTTTTATCTTTCAGTTTACTTCAGTATTAAGTAAAAAATAGATATTGAAGATTCACACCTTACTATTAAATGGAAAATTAAATAATCCATATTTTAAACATCTTATCGTTAGTAACTCTGTTTTTTTGTCCATTAATTAATAGTCAACGTATATCAACAGTAAATAAATACTATTTTCCTACTAATTTGTTCGAAGGATAAACAAACTTAGCTGAAGTTAGCGTAATCTATGCTTATTAAAGCTCTTATTTGTTTTCTGTTACCTGTGATAAAATAATACATTTGTGAAAAAGGATAATACGTAAGTTTGCCTATACCTAACAAAGTTAAACTGCATCAATTCCCACAAAATTCAATAGTTTGATGCAACTTCTCAAAGAAAGAATGTATTTATTGACCTCATAAAAATTATCGTTTAATTACAGGGATAATAGGAAAAAAAATTAAAAAAGGTGGGAAGTCAACGAGCCTGCCTGTTATCGTTATCTTTTTTTTTTTTTTTTTCAAGAGAAAAAGAGATTGTAATATTAGTAATATTTAATTCTACTAAGATACTCTAAAATATATTTGAATAAAAAAATTTAACTAATTATAAGAGTACATGCTTCGAAACGCTGATAAACATTCACAGAAAATGTAAAGACGAAAATTATTTTTGTTTATGGTATAATTTACATACCATCTTGTTTTGCAGATCAGTACTCAGCCTTTAGATCTCTTTCGTAATTTTTCTACATAACGTGATACAAGAGGAAAAATTTTACCTATTTAGGTATTACTATTGGAAGAATCACTATAAAATTACTTAAGTGTAACATAAAATCACACGTAAGAACCAAATTTCTGGTTTTTTTGATACTTCTCTGTTATGTCAGATGATATTGGAAAAATATTTAAAAAATTAACTTATTTATAAAAGTGCGTTTAGGGGATATCTGAAAAAATAAGGTTCTATTTTTAATCTCCAGAAACTATGTGCGATAAGAAATGAAGTACAAGAATTTAATCGATCGAATCGCTTGTATTAGCAAAACATAAAAGACTATACTATAAAAAACTTCCGAATCTATGTTAGTTCGATTTTAGATTTTCAGCTTTCTCTTTATTTAATTAGCGATTTTTATCATAATTAATGAAATTTACTAAAAAAGTTGATCATATTATTTATTCACATTTTCAAGATATTATACGAACTTAGTATCAATAAATATTCGTAAAATTGATATGTACTACTAGGCTTTCGTTAAAGTTTGCCATCATTCTAGACTATTATAATTAGAAAATAAAAAAAAATACAATTAGATGATCCACGTACGGTCGTTATGTATCATCAAAATTTAAGCTCCACATAAATTCGTAGGTAAGTTTTTAAATAATCAGTCTTCATTATATTTCATCTATAATCAACCAAATTTAAAATAATTATAATTTTTCCTTTGTCTTAGCGTATGTACACAACAATTAAAGAAAGTATGATGAAAAATTGTTAGTAAAAATTACGTTTTTGAAACTTTATTCAAATTTTTTCTAAAACCTATGTCAAATTAAAAAATAAAATTACAGAGAAAATATTGTAGGATTAGTTTGCTTTTACGAAATAAGCAGTGTGCTAAAACATCAAGAAGAAATTAGCAGATTGAATTTTGGTTTTCAAACCGTCATTACAGTTATTCCGTGTTCGGTAGAAGATGAATTTGCGCTTTAAAAAATATATTATTTACTCGTTTTTTACGCTACCTACTCAAAAATATAAAGTTCCATAGGAATCTGGGATTCTGGTTTCTAATTTTTGCCGTTATTTATAGGAATTTCAACTTCTTAGCTTTTTCCAGATTCCTTCCTATTTCTATTTTAAGTTAGAATGTGAGAAAAAAATCAGCTTTCTATCTCTTTGTATTGGCAACATGTCTGAGAATTCTTGGTTTAATGTTTATTTTGTAGGTTAGAATCTAATGTCTTGACTATTTTTGAATGTTTTTATAATTTATGCTAAATAGTGAAACTAAATAAATTATGCGTTCAAATGTTCGCATTGGCAACATATGTTCGTTTTTAAAAATAGGGTTTTAATTTCTGGACCTTTTTAAACTTTTTTCACACTTATGTATTAAATCTAAGAGGGAATTGAAAAAATCAGCTGTCTATCTCTGTGTGCTGCAAAAATATCTAAGAATCCACAGTTTAATGCTGATTTTGAGGTAGGGTTCTGATGTCATGATCTTCTTTGTATGTTCTTATAATTATACGTGAAATAACAAAGAGATTAAAAAAAATTAAGTTTCTTGTTACTTTTGTTTTTGAAATTGATATTTATTTAAAATTTAAGGATAGGTTTCAACTTTTAGAGCTTTTCAACTTCATGTATATAGGTACAATAAACTTTGAAGTGAGTAAAAGAATCAATTAGCCTTTTATCTCTTTTGCAGGGGCAAAATATCGGAAAAAATTAGTGGTTGATGATATTTTTAGGTTATGATTCAATTTTTATTGTTCGGAATTATTTTTTTGTTAATAGCAAGTGCAATAGCAAAAACAATGAAAAAAAATTTTTTCCGCCCTCGGGTGGTTTTGGGAGGCTGGTACTTCCTCGGGCAAAAAAGCAGTTTTCCGATACTCGTTCGAAAAGTCTCCTTTACGAACCTCGTTACGGACCTCGCCTTCGGCTCGGGCCGCAAACCTCTCGGTTCGCAAACAAAGGCTTTTCAAACTCGTAAGAAAACTACTATTTTTCCTGTCCAATTTATTTACAAAGTGTACCTGTGACTGCAAACCAGCACTTTGCATCCTTGGCAACAATCGGCATTTTTAAGTTCTTAGCATTTCCTTTGAGATTCAAAACTTTTTATTTTTTTTTTTAAGGTTATGTTATAAAGAAAATGTAGAAAAAATGATGTATGTACGTTTGTATGTATTTCCTAAAAATTTTCAGGCTTTTTTTTTTTAATTTTTCAAACGTGCAAGATTCTAAATGTTTTGTTTTCATTCTTTGAATTTACGCATTATAAGACTATACTTAATTCCATGAAAGATTCTCACTCAATGTAATTTCAAGGCTCTTTATTGTAGTTGTCAGGGGAATAATTCCATTACCCATCATTATCAGTGGTAGGAGGGTCTTATCTATATGCATATGTTGTTGTATTGTTGTAAAAGAACTTTGATAAGTTTTGTATCATTAAGGGCCTACGCCTAT